CCTTTAATTTGATCAACAGGTAAGTCTGTTGTTATATGACCTGACGACAGTGTAACAAAAGCTTGTGTCTTTCTTGTTATGAATTGTCTGTGTTCAAGAGCTCCTGCACTAACACACACACACACACACACTCACACACAGAAGGGTCAAGACGTACCTGGTGCTCCTCTGGCAGCAGCCAGGTCAACTGTTATGTCGGCCCATACCAACTCCCTCCCCTGATCCCTCCACCCCACCGGTATATCAACAAGTTCTCGCAATAAGTTACAATTTCATTTGGAAAGGAACGGAACCAGTGTTGAACAGAGGTGAACAGTGAAAACAACGCAAAAGTAACAGCTGAGAGTCATACCCAAGCTAACCTTCACACAGGGAGGTTCCAGGTACCCAGTGATAACTGCCCGTGAGAACCAACAACAACCAGCGATGTGTTAATCCTTCTACGATAGGGAGCCCTGGGACCACACCTGACTGTACACTCACCATGATAATACTTAGTGAATGAGATGCTACAGCGTCATGTGAGGCCCCTCATAACACCATCTGTGAGGGAAAAACTACACCACGTGAGGCTCCTCATAACACCATCTGTGAGGGAATTACTACACCACGTGAGGCCATTCATAACAACCATCTGCGAGGGAATTACTACACCATGTCAGGCCCTCCTAACACCATCTGTGAGGGAATTACTACACCACGTAAGGTCCCTCATAACACCAACTGTGAGGGAATTATTACACCATGTCAGGGCCAACATAACGCCATCTGTGAGGGAGTTACTACACCACTTGAGGTCATTCATAACACCAACTGTGAGGGAATTACTACACCACATCAGGTCTCTCCTTACACCATCTGGGAGGGAGTTACTACACTACGAGTTTGCTGTTCAACACCTACATTAATCTGTATGTTCATTGTATGTTCCTTTACCTTTCTCTAATGAAGGCTTTTGTTAAACCACCAATGTCAATGCAGGTAATAAGTTATGTATATTTTCAGCATTCAGAGTGCAGAACTTTTTCAATAAATCATTAATTATTATTATTATTATTATTATTATTATTATTATTATTATTATTATTATTATTATTATTACACACACGCACAAATTCATTGCTTCATAAAACACCTGCACGCCTCTAAGTGTCGTTCCTCGTTGAATTAGGAATATGAATAGGGTCTCATTATATTTACACGACTCAATTTGAACACCTGGATAAGTAAACGCGCTTTTAACACCTCATTAAAAAAAGGTAACGCAAATACATACTCTAATACGTAATTCAAATACCTGTTCGTGGAGTGTGGAGCAGGTATGTTTACACACACACACACACACACACACACACACACACACACACACACACACATACACACACCTGTCTATAATACTGACACTCTTGCTCACTGTGCCACCAGGGACGACTCAACACATTGATGAGATATCCATTACCAAGACTTCCATGGACTTGAAGGGAGAGGTTCCCCAGCATGAGCGAGCCCTAACGGACGCCACCTACCAAGGGGCAGCCCAGGATGACCCAGCACTGGTCACCTACGTCAGTCACCTCATGAAACCTCCTTCCACTCTGCGGTACAACCTCACTCATCCAGAGAAAGATCATTTCTCACAATACGGTCAAACTCAATATGCTGATGCAACTTATTTCCATGGCATGGTGAGCAATATCACAATGCCTCTTGTGAGAAGTATTACTGGCTAGTGTTTATGTACAGTACCTGTAACTAACTAGTGTTGATGTACCTGTAACTAACAAATGTTTATGTTCTTGTAACTAACTAGTGTTGATGTGTACCTGAAACTAACTATAGTGTCTCCACGCTAACCTGGCCCATAAGTCACGCCCCTCTTCTATACTAATAGCTGATTGGGTCAAAGAAAAGTCAAACTAAATGTGTTCACAACTGGTAAGCAGACTTGTTATTATCTCAAATTATGATAAATATCTGGACTATCAAAATGCAGATGATTTCAAGCCATTAGCACTTCAGAGAGGATATGGAGGGTGTTGTATCGTGGAGGGTGTTGTATAGTGGAGGGTGTTGTATAGTGGAGGGTGTTGTATAGTGGAGGGTGTTGTATAGTGGAGGGTGTTGTATAGTGGAGGATGTTGTATAGTGGAGGGTGTTGTGTAGTGGAGGGTGTTGTATAGTGGAGGGTGTTGTATAGTGGAGGGTGTTGTATAGTGGAGGGTGTTGTATAGTGGAGGGTGTTGTATAGTGGAGGGTGTTGTATAGTGGAGGGTGTTGTATAGTATGTTGTATAGGAGGGTGTTGTATAGTGGAGGGTGTTGTATAGTGGAGGGTGTTGTATAGTGGAGGGTGTTGTATAGAGGGTGTTGTATCGTGGAGGGTGGTGTGGTGGAGGGTGTTGTATAGTGGAGGGTGTTGTATAGTGGAGGTGTTGTATAGTGGAGGGTGTTGTATCGTGGAGGTGTTGTATAGTGATAGTGGAGGGTGTTGTATAATGGAGGGTGTTGTATAGTGGAGGGTGTTGTATCGTGGAGGGTGTTGTATCGTGGAGGGTGTTGTATCGTGGAGGGTGTTGTATCGTGGAGGGTGTTGTATCGTGAAGGGTGCTGTGTGGTGGAGGGTGTTGTATGGTGGAGGGTGTTGAATAGTGGAGGGTGTTGTATCGTGAAGGGTGTTGTGTGGTGGAGGGTGTTGTATAGTGGAGAGTGTTGTGTGGTGGAGGGTGTTGTGTGGTGGAGGGAAGGTGGTATGAAGAGGGTGGAGGGGACGGCACTCCACTACACTGATCAATACATCAACACCAGTGACCAACTTCACGTCGCACACACACTGCATGCACGCCACACACCTGCCCTCCACACACACTTCCACACACCTGTCATCCACACTCACACACTTCCACACACCTGCCCTCCACACACACTTCCACACACCTGCCCTCCACACACACACTTTCACACTCCTACCCTCCATTCACACTTCTACACACCTGCCCTCCACACACACACACACTTTCACACACCTACCCTTCATTCACACTTCTACACACCTGCCCTCCACACACACACTTTCACACACCTACCCTCCACACACACACACTTCCACACACCTGTCCTCCACACACACACTTCCACACACCTGTCCTCCACACACACACTTCCACACACCTGGCCTCCCCACATACACTTCCACACACCTGTCCCCCACACACACACTTCCACACACCTGTCCTCCACACACACACTTCCACACACCTGTCCTCCACACACACACTTCCACACACCTGTCCCCCACACACACAATAAACACAAATAACATAATGAGTGTTTGTGAACTTATCCCAACAGGTGTGGTGATCCTGGTGAGATAAGTAACCAGACAAATGGAGGCTTTCATCATAATACGACTGATTTTGTTTAATGTTTCAAGGACAAACCTCAATCAGAACTCAGGAGTCTTAAATATCACTTTATGTGAGTACATTTGGGGGACAACTTCTAGGGCTTTTTGTGAAGATTTTCAGGGAGTGATTAACTGGTTCTGCTCTTAGTACACAAAAACACATGCATAATAATACATATGTAGTACTTTTACAAAATACACTACACACACTTACATGCATATACAAACAACCACATACATGCTTACATGTGTATATACAGTACAAATAAATACACGTAGACATACATACATTATTTTTTTAATGTTTGCCCCTCGAGATCGAGAATGGCCTGCCCAAGGGCCACCAAGACGTGAATTTGTTGAAGGTGTAGAAGCTGTCGCCAACACAACAACCACACCCTGACTTAACGAGTTGCATGACCCAGTGTCAAGGAATAGTCCGAGAAGACCGGACAACTCCACTGGCTAACCATTACCCAGGAATACGATCCGCAAATCGATTAACATCCAGGTTCCCAATTACGCTGGGTAGACAGAGGCAAATGGCGGAAAGAAACTTGCCCATAGTTTCACCCTGCCCGGGGATCGAACCCGGGTCAACTAGCATATGAGGTGAGCATGCTGACCATTACATCACATACATACATACATACATCAACAGGGTGGACCACAATGATGTGCCCTGATTTAGAAGACCGTCATTGAATTGTTTGTGAATCTGTTTTGGTCATTCTGGCCTAAAAAATAACATAATAAGCAAAATATTTCATCCATAACAGAAAGTACAGCAGTGTGAATCATATAAATCAATCCATCGATCAGTTGAAGGTTATTACATTATCAATCCAAGCGACCCAGTGTTTATCATCAATTCTTCCGCGTATTGAGGCGGTCACAATATATTTTGAATTTATGATATCTCAGAGAGAGTAGTCAGCTGGAGACAGATCGAAAAGAATTGGTATTCATTTTGTATCTGCGGGGAAATACTCACATAATTCAATGAGCCTCTCCCTTTAATTTCTACCGGTTTGACTTGGCAATAAATCTACTTTGTTAGGATACAGGTCGTCATGAACAGCTCTGCAGACCGTTGATCGTCAAGTTCCTACCAAATGAGAAAGTTTACGTCTCTACTCCCTTGGCGAGGCTTCTACCTCACAGCCTCGGTATTGTCAGATGCTGTAGTACTACTGTAGTAGGTTTTCAGCCACTGTCCCTTGCCTTGATCCCTCTCAAACGTTCTATGTAGTACCAAATATCTCCACTGTACTTTTTATCTTTTTTGTTTTAATGAAAAATTGCTATTCACTGCCGATATGGCGATAGAAGAAACTTTAGAACCACTGCTTAAAAAACATTAGAAAAAGACAAAAACAAATATTAGTTACAATGTGGCTCTTTTGAGAAGGAGTACATCGTTGTGGCCCACATCATACTGTAACGCACACTACATATATGTGATAAGATATGATAGAGCGAGAGAGGGGTGTTATTTTGATTTAAGAGATAATCACTTTATATGGCGTCGTGGTTCACCAACAGTAAATAATTGTGAAATTACACGTTTTAGCAAGGTAATGATGGTTGACACTCACCTGAGCATTGTTTAAGTTTTACCCGTGGAGGAGGAGGTGGTGTGTCAACACTCACATCGCTACTGTGTTAAACATGTGGATGGAGTGAGGGTTCAATATTCTTACCTATTCCACAACAAACGGTATCCAAGCACACACCACGCCGCCTCTGCTTACTTAGCACCTCTCCCTCTATACTAAAGAAAACGAAGCCAAGCGTAACGTTAGTGCGAAGCCAGAGTGACGTAAACTGTCTTATTGTGACCTCGGTGTTTGGTGTTTAGATTAATCATTACCACACACACACACACACACACACACACACACACAGCCTTTCTGAGAATCTTACAACACAATGTTCAGAAACAGAAAATATCGATAAACACTGCCACTGCAAAGATAGATATGTTAGGTGTTGCTCTTATTCGCTGATATTGATTACCCCCGAGAATCTTTAACATATTCAACAAGCTAGGTTGTGTTGTCATGTTGGAACTGACCTCATTACTGCTACCCTCCCCTACCTCGTCTCTCCTTCCTCTCTCACCCCTCCCCTATCTTCCAACCCCTCGCTTCCTTGTCTCTTCTCATATATAAGACAATCATGGATCTCTTGGTTTTACTAAAAATTTGTAATCTCTCTCTCTCTCTCTCTCTAAATGTTGACTAGTTCTTTAAAAAAAACCATAATATCACAGAAACAGACAAATGATAAAGACTAAAAAATTTAATAATAAAAAACAAAAATGAGAAAATAATCCGAATGGCAAAAACACAAACATGCATCAGTTAGTTTTAGTTTAACAAATTTATTGGCAGAGCTTGTAGTACAGTTTGCCTATTCTGAGTAATTCAGTCAGGTCTTGACACTGAGGGTGGTATCACTTCTCACTGTCACGCAGGACAGAGGTTCACACACAAAGAAATACATCAGATTCATTAACAACTATAAATGTATATAGGTCAGGTTCATATGGATAATGTCACTGTTCACTGCCATGCAGGACAGAGGTTCGTACACAAAGAGTTGCATCATATTCATTGACAGTACATATACATATATGTAAACACACACACACACACATATATACATACATATACGTATATACATACACATATACATGTACACGTACATATACATGCACACACGCACACATACATACATATACGTCGGTCAGATTCATGTGGGTAATGTCACTTTTCACTGCCATACAGGACAGAGGTTCGTACACAAAGAATGCATCATATTCATTGACACTATATATAGGTCAGATTCATGTGGGTAATGCCACTGTTCACTGCCACGCAGGACAGAGGTTCGTACACAAAGAAGGAAATACATCACATTCACCAGCAGCATATATAGGTCAGTGGATCACATACATTGGAGTCATATTCTAATTGAAGACTAATCAGTGTGGGCTAGTAAATTTGGGATAAACAGCAAGAATGTCCTCAAGCACACCTGATTCAATGAAGTAATTACATAGTTCAAGATACAGTAAGTCAGGTGGCCTGAAGTCTTTGACAGTGTCACATTCAATAATATAGTGTTCAAGTGTATGCTTCAAAGGTTTATCACAAAGTTTACATGCTGAGTGTTCCGGTATGGGTACAGCGTTACTAACTTGCCAGATGTGTCTGTATCCTAGCCTAATTCTGGCCACGACTACATCACATTGTCTGGTTCTGTCCTTATGCTGGCCATACCGGTACCTCTTGTTACAAAATTTTTCATATTTACTAATGCTACAACTGTCAGGTCTCTCTGCATTTCTCACTGCTTCTAGATCAGAGTTCATGATTCTGACTTGAATGTTTTTAATTACAGCATTGGACAGACCAAGGTCGCGGTCAACATTTTCTTTCTTACATGCCTCATTGGCCAGTCTATCAACATGGTCATGATACCTGATTCCAACATGGGACGGAATCCACACAAATTCGATACGAAAGTTGTTCTCATTGGCAGTTATCACATTCCTTTTAATATCACATGCAACTTTAGACATAGAGCCTGACGGGCTGTTCATTGATTTCAAAGCACTTTGAGAGTCACAGAATATCACCCCACCTCCATTTTCTTTGAGGTAGTCTGTGGCTAAGTAGATTCCAGTTAGTTCAGTTTGTGTTGTGCTGGCCCAGTTGTTCAGCCTTTGTTTGTTTGACACTATCATCTCTTTTTCTTTATATATTACAATTGCACAGCCTGTTCTACCTGTGTTTGTCTGCACAGAACCATCAGTAAAAGCATAACATTCACTTGATTTAATACTCTCTATGTGTCTGTTAATAGTTTCTAGTGTGACACATCTCACCACATCGGTGTTTAACATTTGCTTACTACCAACAGGAGTGTAATTAATAGGAACTGATATGTCCAGCCAAGGAGGAATGGCATTAATAGGTTCGTCTGGGGTGATTGGGACATTCAGTTTCAGGAGATCTGCAACACTTTTATGAAGCCACGCCCCAAAGAGAGTCTTTTGTGAAAGGTTGGCGAGATGGTCGGGATTACTTAGATAGAACATCAACTCAGTTTGAGTTGTAGTTTGAGAACTATTGTTCTTCAAAACTTTGACACAAAACATGGTATTAAGTAGGGCTATCCTCTCAGATAGGGAGGGCAGTCCGAGCTCTTTCCTCATGTTTACAATTCTGGTTGATTTTGGGCAACCTAGGATGATGCGCATGGCTTCATTTTGCACTACCTCAAGGCTGTTGAGTTGTTTAGGCGGAATAGTCACAAGATGGAGAGCATGATAGTCAACTACAGAACGAATGAAGTGAAGATAGAAAGTACGAGCATAGGTGATGTTAATTCCATAGCCCTTGCCAACAAGGGTTCTGAGGGGTTTAATGCGCTGCATTAGTTTGTCACGAAGGTTGCTGACAAAGTTTGCATCATTCACACAAATTCCAAGATATTCATAGGAGCTACATAGTTCCAAGGGCATGCTGTTAATATTATAGTCAAGAGGCAGAGGGTGAGCAGGACGAGGATTGAGGACCCTCGTCTTGTCAACAGATATTATGAGACCGCATTCAACAGTTCTCCGAGCAAATACATCCAGCAAGGCTTGGAGCCTGAGTTTGGTTTGTGTCATAATGCAGATATCATCAGCATAGCATATTACGGCTTCGTTTGGCTGAACTGGAATGTCAGCAATAAGCTTGTGCATCAGTATATTAAAGAGCATAGGACTTAACACTCCTCCCTAAGGCGTGCCCAGCTCAAATGATCTCATTCTGGTACTTTTAACTCCCCTAAACAGAACACTGGCATACCTGTTGGACAGATAACCCTTTATCCATGTCAGGAGGTTACCTTATATGCCAAAATTAGCTAGTTGCTCAAGTATAATGTCTCTATTAGCTACATCAAAGGCTGATTTAAGGTCTATGAAGGCTGTTTGTGTCTTATCTTTTGAGTGAACAAGATATTCTGCAAAGCATGTCTGTGTGCTACGCCCGGGCATGAACCCGTACAGATTAGGGGCCAGTTTGTCTTTGACTTGAAACATGAGACGGTTTAGAACAACTCTTTCAAGGACTTTGCACATACAGGATGTAAGTGAAATTGGCCTGAAGTTTGGAGAATTAGCTTTAGGGATTGGAACTATGTTTCCATGAGTCCATGTCTTAGGCAGATTACCCTGTGTGAGGCTCATTTGATACAGGTCAAGCAGTGGATGGTTAGGGATCTTATTCAACAATCTCAGGGTGTTATAGGTTATGCCATCCTCACCAGGAGAGGATGACTCGCCTTTCATTAGTGCTGTTGTTAGTTCGTGGTGCGTTATAGGAAACTGGTCGGCAAGGTCTGGTGAGGAACAGGCTATTAATGTGTGAGGTGTTAAGATATTGTTGTATGTCAGGAGGCAGGGAAGTGATTCGTGACACACTAGACCATTTGTCTAATAGCATGTCAGCATATTCTGCAGGGCTGTGATGAAGCTGGACTGGGGTGGGTGACTTGGTAATGGCTCTAATTTTCTTCCACATTTCTGCTAGAGTGGTTGTTCTATTAATCCCCTGTAAGAATTGTTCCCAATAGGTGTTTCTCACCTGACCTTTGAGTTCACGAAATTCTCTGTTAGCTTTGAGGAATGCCAAAAGGTTATCACTAGTTTTATTTTGCTTATAAGTGTTGGCAAGCTGTTTTACATTCTCTCCTTCTTTGGTGAGGATGGGGTCATGTGTCCACAGAGGTGGTTTAGTGCTGCCCCCCTTCCTCCTTGACTTAACCCAGGTGGTATAATATGTGGTAATGACATTTACAAGATCACAGCAAAATTCATCCACTGACCCAGGTGTATATCCAGCATACCATCTATGGATGTAGGCCTTGAAGTGCAGTTTAAGATTATCTGGGATATTAATTCTGAGCTTAGGATGGGGTTCACACTTGACATCAGCAACAGTGTATTCAGTAAGTATTGCATAATGATCACTGACAAGGTAGTCTGGGATGACCTTAGCCTTGACATTACTGTCTACTAGGTTATACCCAATCACATAATCAAGTCTGCCCCCCATCAGATGTGTCACTTTGTCTGTGTCGTATACAGTGATATTATGATTATTGATGTAATTCACGAACACCCTCCCATTAGAGTTACACTGGACATCACCGAGGACAGTGTGACGAGAGTTAAAGTCACCCATACACAGCATAGCATTGTTACCTGATGGCTTTGGTAACACGTCCGCTCGCAGTTCATTACACCGAACATAGATGTTATACAGCGAAAATTGACTGTTTGCTGTCTTTACTGTAAATTGTTGATTGTGAATACTTTCATCATTGTGAGTTTTAATCCATTTACAGACCAGACCATTCTGTACATATGTGAGCAGGCCACTTCCTGCTCCACTATTATATGCTGTAAACCCAGCTATCCTGGGTGCAACTTTCTTCTGGGTGCTGGACGTGTAAGGTTCTTGTAAGCTGTCACGTGCCTGAGCGCTCGGGAACTCGCATAGCGTGAGGCATATGTGCACGCCTCCATTTCACACAAGCTATTAATAATTTGTTAATTGTACTTATTATATTATTATTGTTCTTAGTTACTTAGGTTAATTGTATATTTATGTATGTTATTAATATGCATCATTGTCTTACTCTGTTAAGTTCAAATCAAGAGAGTATTAATTAATTATATAAAATATCTAGCAAATGTCTGGATCACCTGAGATGAGACGCGCTTCTCAGCGGCGTACCCACGCCACCCCAGTAGCGAAAAACCGTGGCATAGGTTAGACGTGTCCATTCGTTCTCTAGCCTTGACCCTTGTCTAGTGCTTTATCCAGTCTTCTGCAATGCCCTAGGGGTATCAGGTATTAGTGACACGTTTAGTTAGGCCTAGGAAGGGATCCTGGTGGTAAGGTATCTCCTGTTTGGTAGGGATAATCATTTTGTAGTGATTGTTGTATATATATATATTTCGTATGTCTTGTGTAATATAGTAATGTTAAGTAATATTTGTTTGGTCTAACTCCTTACAGCATATTTTCGCCCTTCCGGCATCACCCTTATTTTATTATACAATTACTTATTCCCTTAAATTCATGTTTGCTAATCATTACTCCCTTTAGAACATAAATTGAATTAATTAATTATCTTCCCTTTTGTGATTCACTTATTTCAACTGTTCTTACTTATTCAAGTACATTTAGTTGAGTAGGTTTTTGGTGAGGATAATTATTGCCGTGTTCCCTATTTGTACCTTTATTTGTTATTAACTTGGGGTAGGATTCACTCCCCAAGTATAAAGGGTAGTGGGATCGCGACAAAGCCAATTACATCAATGTCAAAAACTTTAACAAACCATTGTAGATCATTAATTCTGCGATTAACACTCCGGATGTTCCATGAAATGAACCTAAACGTTCGTGTTACTTTTCCCACCTTGAATTTAACGTAGAGAGTCGCACGCTGGCTTCATAGATCAGCCTGACCAATAAGCTGACCATTCCAATTTCTGTACCTCTGGATTTCCTGATAATGTTCTTCACAGCCCTTATTCCAGTAGGATTTTTATACGCTGGTTCCTTCATCAGTCCCGCGAGTTCCTCCTCCGTAAACAATGGAAAACTTACAGGGTCATGAACAGTCTGCAGACCTGGGACTATTATAGAGACCACGCTGGCAGTCTGGGGCTCATTCTCCCCATCCATGCTACCATCACTATCGGTCTCGCTCTGGCTACTCACCCTCAAGTTGGCATCATTATGAGAGGAGGCACAAGCTCCTTCAGAAGCTCCACTAACACTATCACTGTCATTGTTCACTGGTTCACTTACTTGGCAGGCTTTAACCTGACCTGCATTGGCTAACGAAGGAGAGTCACTGTGCCTGTTGACTTCAGGTGGTGGAGGCGATCCGGCCGCATTGGCATCATTGAGTGGGACTGCTATTGTGGATGGAGGCGACCTCCCAGGACAACTGGGGTGCAAGGCCGTCACACCCTCCTCCCTGGACCTGGGACACTGCCCCCTGGGTGGGGAGGTGTCGCTGTTGATTTCAGGTGCTGGAGGCGACCCCGCAGTGTTGCTGTTGGCATCACTGAGTGGGACCGCTTTTGTGGGTGGAGGCGGGCTCCCAGGGCAACCTGGATGCCAGGCCGTCACACCCTCCTCCCTGCACCTGTAACACTGCCTCCTGGGTGGGGAGGTGTAGCTGTTGATTTCAGGCGTTGGCGGCGACCCTGTAGCGTTGGCGTTGGCGTCACTGAGTGTGACCGCTATTGTGGGTGGAGGCGGGCTCCCAAGGCAACCTGGATGCCAGGCCGTCACACCCTTCTTCCTGCATCTGGCACACTGCCACTCAAATGGGGAGTCCTGCTCTCTTCCGTCCTGAGAGGCACCTTCCTTGATGGGGCAGCTGCTTGTGCTATGCATTCCTGCGCAGTAGCCGCAGGTGGCTGGCTTGTGACAGTATTTCGCCACATGATTGACCCCAAAGCAGTTGTAGCACACCACAGGGGGAGGAATCCACCGACTGATGTTACTAGGGGTACCGTACGTGCTGCCAAAGAAGCTGTACTTCTCAGGAGGTGGTTCCTTCCTTTTCCAAACAATGATGATCCTACTAAGTTGTGCACCATCCTTATAGAGTCTTCTTGCACTGTGGACGCCCTGGAGTGACAGAGCTCTCTTGGGGGGAATACCCTTGGGGAATTGGGTGACAAGGTATTCCTTCATTTTTTGAGGTCGAACAGGTTCATCTCGCTTAATAAGCTGTATTGAGCCGACCTTACCATCAATGAAGCGTTGGATAGCTTCTGTCTCCTCTCGGCCTACATAGACAAAACGAGGGGTGTTACCTGGCACGACAACATTCAGCTTAGCCATGCCATAATCCTTATTCAGGGCAGTCAACCAATTAATCTTCATCAAATTGGTTGCGTTCTCGGGAAAGGCAAGGCGCATGTACTTAGCCCGGGGAGCAATGGGAGGGGGGCGGGGGGATGCCCCTATTGGCTCTCCTCTGCTTCCTTCCCTGGGTCCTCATCTTGCGTTTCTGCTGACGTGTCTTAAACTTCTGAAAGCCAGCTTCAGTGTCGCTATGACTGTCCTCTTCATCTTCTTCATCAAGGACATAGGCAGAGCGCCGCCCAGCGATGACTCCTGCCATGGTTAGATTTAGATGGAATCTAGGTCATATACACTGGGGCACAGAGGCGACATGTAGGCCAGCGATGTCCTTGAGGCGTAAACCCTCTTATAGGACAAGGGGAGAGGGGAGCCTGACATCAACGGTGTGAGGGTAGGAGGGCCTCCTGGGAGCGGAGGGAGTGTGGTGTCGGGGGACTAAGGTAACAGGAGTATTCTCAGTTTATAAGCACTTTTATTACACTTCACTTGTTCTTAATAGTAACTCTGTTTTTCTGACGGCACAACACCTCAGACCATCCTCACTTGGTTCGTCGAGACCCTACATTAAGTGTCCGTTACTATGGTGGGGGTGGGGGTGGGGACGACCGCATGGGCAGCACTCTCGGCCCCATAGGGGCGATAGTCTCGGGACCACCCCTGTCAAAGCAGGCCTAACGACACTGACCTTAGCGCCGAGCCTCCTCATTATCCCACCACTGACCCAGCAATGGGTCACCACTCACTTGGAGAACGCCGGTGAACACACGGAATATTTACAATTTATGCCGTCGGGGATGAGAAGAAACCTTGGGTGGCAATGCTTAAGGTGACATCCGATATTCACGGACACATTGTCAAATTCCCGCTCCCACACAGCGAGTATGTCCCCACCAATAACACTTTAGATCGGAGAATATGTCTGGCCAGCCGTGTTGACCTGACTTGACCTGAAACATGCATCAAGTCCACACATACTGTATGTAAACAGACATAAAATGCCTATGCAATCACACGTAAAACATACACACACAGTCCACTCACAGTCCACTCACATGTTTTCCTAATGATATCTTGAGCCAGGCTGAGAACACTTGGTCTGATCACCACTTATAAGGCGATGACACACGGACATGTACCGAACACGTGAGATACGTGACTCAGTTCAGCACCCGTCACCCTGCTGACAGGAACTAGAATCGTGCAATCTGAGCGAATCCGTTGGAAATGAAAAACTAGCTGCTGCACCATGCTGTGTAAATAACAAAACTGTACCGTACGGGCATTAGGATTAAAAAAAATTATCCCCTAACAAGGCAAAGTAACAAAAAAAATGTTGAATCGGAGTTTCCACATTTCTCCAAACATACGAGTATACTCCTTACACTAGCCAGCCATGGCCCCCCCTAAAATCTTACCGTGGCCCCCTTGTGGAGCATGGCCCCCAGTTTGAGAAACACTTGTCTAAACAGAGGCGAAAAGGATAAACTAAAATGTGTACCGGTATGTGTGTAGTGTGTGTGTGTATTCGTGGGGTATGCCTACTTCGTCACCAACCCGTTTCGTCACCACTGTTTTCAACCCATTTCGTCACCATTGCTTTACCCGTTTCGTCACCTCGTTTATTCCCATCAATATATACACGAAAATAACTGTTGCTTGGGATAGAAAATAATAAATAATAAAAACACTAAGACAATTTATTAAAGACGAAAATATAAAATAAAAACATACGCCTGCAATCATCTCACTTAAACAATATGTGAAAAAGACGCAACAGGCGATATGGCCCGGTAATATTAACCAATTGCAACATATTACGAAATTATGCCTCGGCATAACAGTACATTGGATCACGCAAGCATCTCACTAAGGCAATTTATTAAAGACGAAAATAACCAGGAGCGAACTTGTAGCAATGGTTTTAGGTTGACAAGTTTGGGTTTAGGCTCGAAATAGGTAAACACTGGTTTGGAAATAGAGTGGTGGATGAATGGAACAATCTACCAAATATTATCATTAACTCGAATACGCTGGCTAGCTTCAAACATACAGTAGGTTGGATGCTTATATGAGCAATAGGGGTTGGGTGTAAATGGGACTGCCCAGTATGGGCCAATAGGCCCGCTGCAGTTTCCTTCATTCTTATGTTCTTATGTTACAAAATTTTTAATATTTATCATAAAAGGTCGATATAATTACGCGCAGTCCGGGGGAAGGTAAAACATTCAGGGGAACCAATCAGCAATGTGTAACTATAGACGAGGGGCGGGGCTTACGGGTCAGCTAAGCGTGGAAAGCGTTTCTCGTTGATGTAAATTACCTATAACTAATTAGTGTAGATGTATCTCTAACTAGCAATGATGTACCCTTAACTAACTGGCGCTACTGTCCCACAGAGAGAGGGCTTCTTCGTGGAGGTGGGTGCCGTGGATGGTGAAACCCTCAGCAACTCCCTGTACTTGGAGAGAAACCTCAGGTGGTCGGGGCTTCTCATCGAGGTGTTCCCGACAACATATAAAACGCTCCTCCAGAAACACCGGAAAGCTTACTCCATTAACGCAGCTTTATCTTTCAACACCTCCTCCACCGAAGTCAGATATGCGTAAGTCGAATCACCTAAGGTTAGTGTTAGCTTAAGTTAGGCTAGGTTAGCGTTGGGTTAAGTTATGGTTAGATTAGGTTAAGTTAGATTAGGTTAGCATTAGGTTAAATTAGCATTAAGTTAGATTAAGTTAGCTTTAGATTAGATCAGTTTAGCGTTAGGATGTTTAACTTTCAAATGACCAATTTATATATACGGGTAAAACTGGATTATTCTCTTGTTTATATAGAAATCGCGGTAAACTGGGCGTGTTAGGTCACATCTTCCCGGACCAAGGAGAGAGGATTCAGGCCATTCCTCTGTACACCATGTTGCTGGCTCTTAATACTACAGTCATTGATTACTTCAGTCTTGACATTGAAGGGGGTGAGATGAAGGTGAGCACAGGTGTTGTGTTGTGTTGCTTACTGTGTGTTGTGTTGGGTTACTGTGTTGTTTTGTGTTGTGTTGTATTGTGTTTTGTTATTGTGTTGTGTTGTGTTACTGTGCGTTGTATAGAAAGATATTTTAATTCATTATTTACTGATACTGTTTTGTATTCCAACACACACACACACACACACACACACACACACACACACACACTTAGTCCAGTATCATACTTAATGTTAACATAATCCCACATTAAACTAATCTCTCTGTATTTTGGTTTAAACTAAATGTCCTAATGTTCAGGTAATCCATCAGAAAATAAAATATCTATAACATTGTTTACATTACAGGTGTTGATGACTATCCCTTGGGACAAAGTCAAGGTTGGAGTCTTGGTACTTGAGTCGAACCTTATACCTGAAGGTCGGAAGTTCTTGGTGGACTATATGACCAGCAAGGGCTACCAGTTCGCTGGCCATAGAGGCATCGACTCGTGGTTCATTCTACCCGAACTTGTGAACCAATACATCATGAAGCATTAGAATTCTTATACATTAGTTTACCTTGTTATTATTTTATGTTTAATGTTTTTTTGTAGATAATAATAAAGTTTTGTATCTACTAGACTGTTACTCTTAAGAGAACTGATGAAAGTACCAAAAACAGTACCTAGTAGAAGGTTGGCAATATTACACACCGATGATGTAGTGCTGATGAAAACCAAGAGTAATATTTATCTTGATATGTCTCTCTATTAGGCAAGTCTTTAGTTTAGGTTAGGTCAGGTTAGGTCAGGTTAGGTTAGGTCAGGTTAGGTTAGATTTGTTTTAAAAATAAGGTGCCGGTAATTCACCTTGAAGAAACTACGTGTAAAACTACTCAAACTTAAGCTGAAAAGTTCATTAATAAACTGTCAAATATACGGGTAGGTTCCTTGAAGCTTAGTGTTTAACCTATCTGGATGACTGGTAACATGAACGATAAGTCTAACTAAAGAAGAACCACTTACTAGATAACATATTTAGTGCATAGTTCTCCTAAGTTCAATTTTACTTAAGGCAACACATCAGGCAGGAAAGAAGATTTACTTGAGCAGAACCATTGTCTTTTAACGTACACTGTGCTGGAAAATAGTTTATACGAGTTTCATAGCGCTATATTTTTTTTTTCACCATGGCGCTATGAGGTTGTTTGGTCATCTGCCCTACCTCATGTTAGTTATTCACGTGACTCATTAAACTGTAGCTAGGTAGTAGGGATATATTATGTAGTATCTATATACAGGTGTGTCATTATAAACTATACAACTTGTAGTTCTGACTATACTTGTAGCTGTATTTATACTTGTAGTTCTGCCTGTACTTGTAGCTGTGTTTATACTTGTAGTTCTGGCTGTACTTGTAGCTATGTTTGTACTTGTAGTTCTAGCTGTACTTGTAGCTGTATTTGTACTTGTAGTTCTGGCTGTAGTTGAAGCTGTGTTTGTACTTGTAGTTCTAGCTGTAGTTGTAGCTGTGTTTGTACTTGTAGTTCTAGCTGTACTTGTAGCTGTGTTTATACTTGTAGTTCTGCCTGTACTTGTACTTGTAGTTCTGCCTGTACTTGTAGCTGTATTTGTACTTGTAGTTCTGGCTGTAGTTGAAGCTGTGTTTGTACTTATAGTTCTAGCTGTACTTGTAGCTGTGTTTGTACTTGTAGTTCTAGCTGTACTTGTAGCTGTGTTTGTACTTGTAGTTCTAGCTGTACTTGTAGCTGTGTTTGTACTTGTAGTTCTGGCTGTACTTGTAGCTGTGTTTGTACTTGTAGTTCTAGCTGTACTTGTAGCTGTGTTTGTACTTGTAGTTCTAGCTGTACTTGTAGGTGTGTTTGTACTTGTATTTATGCTTGTACTACCTAAAGTTTTACTCGTACTTCTATTTCGGCACATTCTTAACCCTGTGCTTGCTTGTATTAGCCTCTCACATATAGACACATTAATATTATATAAATATGGGCTAATGACATATATTCATTATATACATTCTATCACCCAGACTATTGAGCATACAGCTACGTAAACATTTGTTCTGTCACACCTTCTCGGGTGGACAGTCCATAAAACTACAGACTCAACCCTCAGTGTGTGGGTAGGCTGTTTAGTTAATGGCCGTGTTGGAGTGTGGCAACTCTCCAACCACCAGTCACCAGACTCAAGAGAGCTCAGCCCAGTTCTCACCAGTTCACAGCCTGACACGATACCCTAAAGTCGTGTCGTGAGACCAGCTCTCCAGGCTGTACCTCTCTAAATATATAAGCTAATTAGAAGCTAATAGCTAATGCTCATTAGTCTGTCAATACCAAATAATTGAACAGACATTACTACCAAATATACAGTAATTAGAAATTCATCACGTGTGTTTACATTAAACCAAGAAACAAGGAGTGAAGAGAACATTACCCAGGGCAGCTGTGACGACTTCAACTATCAACCAATCTAAGACTGCAACAAAAGTTACATGCCGTGAGATTATCTGATATCTCACTCAGCAGCATCAAAGGTACAGTCACTCATAAAAGTTAGTGGGGATCTCCGTGTGTTTGGGTGAATCCCGTCCCCACCTCTTTCTGGACGACAGGTCTCTGGGCACGGGACAACGCACACACGAACATACACGGTGAACCTGTTGGAACTGTGTGTGTTCAGTTAAGACCTGTTTGACAGGAATATTTGTCCACGCAAATCTTGTGTTATTTCATATAATGTCTACACATTTGCATTTGTGTGACAGCATGAGGGCTAAAATTGTCATGGACAATATGACCACAGTCCTCTGTTACCTGAACCATGAGACGCTTCGATATGTGAAGACGAAGCAATACGATAGAGGGTGAGTGGAGGAGGGGGGTGGCATGTAATATCATTACAAATATATGGCAATAGACCTACTTCAATACTTTCCTTTAGTTATTACATGAAGGGTTTCTTACCTGCTTGGTGTGTTTGCTCCAGTAGATTGTTGCCTTAGACTCGGGACTCTTCCATTACGACGTTGGCCAACCGCTTCACTGCTCATTGTTTCGAGTCTTCGTCTACTTCAAATGTTTTATTACCTATTATTCAGAATGGGTTTGTATTTGGATACATAGAGGAATATATGAAGAAGATAAATTATACTCGGTTAATGGTAGATACTGTCTGAGTTGAACTCTTACAGCCCAGATAATTACATAACATACAACAGCAAGTACACTGCAGACCTCGTGTACCACCGCATACCAGGTTGACACACCTCAGGTCAAGACCCAAGGGACTTGACCTCGCCCACTAATGACTTGAGTTAGCCTGGTGACCTACTTCATCCCTCTCGATTTTCGAAACTATCTTGAACTCCAATTTTCTCCGTCACCTCTTTTGGTTTCTCTCCCCCACTTTGTCTCATCTCTAGCTTCCTTGAGAACCGATCCATGGCAGTTGTTGTCGAGGGATCGATTTCTCTCTCTTTCTCTACCAGTAATGGCGTCCCACAGGGTTCTGTTCTTTCACCAACTCTCTTCCTTCTTTTTATCAATGATTTACTTCACACTACAACTAATTCTATCCATTCTTACGCTGATGATTCTACTCTTCACTCTTCCTCACATTTTCCCCTTCCTCCTAACTCTCAAACTAGATCTGTTTCTAGAACTGATATCATTACTTCTATCAATGCAGATCTGTGCAGCATCTCTGAATAGGGATGTACAAACTTGGTTAAGTTCAATAGTAATAAAACTCAATATTTACCAATTACACTTTGTAAATTTGACGATCTCCCACCAATTACATTTCAGGACGCTATCATCCTCCCAAATTCTGAAATAAATATGTTAGGCCCCACCAATATTTCCTGGAAATCACACATCCTTAGTATAACTAAAGCTGCCTCCCGAAAGTTGGGAATGCTGTACAGATGCCGCAGCTACTTCACTCCTGAGCAGTTGCTCCAAGTATATAAGGGATTCATTCGTCCTAACTTGGCGTACTGCTCTCATATCTGGGGTGGCTCTTCTTCTGTCCAACTATTAGATAGGGTGGAATCAAAGGCATTTCGTCTTATTAACTTTCCTCCTTTAGTCGACAATCTCTCTCCCCTTTCTCTTCACCACAATGTTGCTTCACTCTCTCTCTTTTACAGGTACTTTAACGGGCAATGTTCGGTGGATTTGGCATCCTGTGTACCGCTGGCATGGCCGTGGGCTCGTAACACACGTCTTGCCCGCGGTGCCCACCGTTTCTCTGTGGATGTCGGTCATACAGAATAACCCGTTATAGTACCTCCTTCTTTCCTCACACAGCCAAACTGTGGAATGCTCTGCCTTCTTCTGTGTTTCCATGCTCTTACAATCTGTCTCACTTTAAAAAGCTGGTTTTCCGGCATCTTCGTGGTGTAGATTAATACAGTATAACCTTTTTTTTTCTATACTTACAATTTCTGTCCGTTCTTTTTTTTCGCCCCCATGCTCCGTTGTGGGTCGTTTGACCTATGCCTGGGTGGGCTAATTCAAAAAAAAAAAAACACTTGGCATGACCACACTTGCACACAGCTGTCCAGATCTAACCAGTTTAGTGTTAATTGGTAGGTCAAACGCCGGCTGGGCCTCCCCCATATAAAAGGCCTTGCAGTCCCTTCCACGGGTGATTCTCATACGGGTCTTATTCAGAGAGATTGGTCATTGAGAGGTCATTCTGGTCACTCCCCACTACACACGCTCTTCCTCCCACCAGATCGGGGGACTTCCCGACGTCACCAGCTAATCAGAGTCACAGCCAAGCACCCACTGGGCCTACGTCAGGGTACACGTGAGTCTTGTCAGAACTATTCCTAGGGTGAGTTACCTACTGTGGGAAGTGTATTCATTCATGTTGTGTCCGAGAGTCAGTGTCGAGTAACTTAACATAATGTGCTAATACCCCGATATAATAATGATATTAACGTGTCCATGTCATTGAGTGAATTAATAAATAGTTGTATCGAAGTGGTGTTTGAGAAGTTGTCCCTTAAGAACGTGATATACTATATGTGTATTGATGTACAAGATAAGTGTATTGACTCGGAGTAAATAACATCCCGGCCACGCTACCCAAGTTTCTATCTTTACATTACTACTCTCTATACTTCCTACTCATATGTTATCTTCTTCTATGCAAGTTCTGTCTTGTTATAAAAGATAAATATGGTAATCATGTAACTATCTGAAGGTGTATAGATTAACTCATAATAGTCGTTACGTGAGTCTTATTTTCTCACATCAAATCGCAAAGAAATTTTTTGGCGCGAGAGCCTGACGGCCAGACTGAGACAGACTGATATGGCATTACCTCTTGTAAGACTGTTCCCCTGCTTCCGAATTCTTCTAAATAGTTTCTCATCATATTTGTTCTGATCTGTTGATCGAATTTGGCTGATTCTATGTCAGTTTAGTTTTAGTAAAGTCGCTAAACATCAGAACGACCACATGGACCTCAAAATTCCCAGGCGTTAAACATTGATAGGAGGATAAAGGGATTACATGAATATTAGCCAGTTTATTTCACCTCAAGATTCACGTTAATGCTTATCGACTCTAACCTAACGCTAGGATAAGTTAGAGCCTCAGGTAGGAGAGATGAAGTGGGAGTGTCTAAACTTATCAACATTAAACGAAAAAGTTACAAATCCTTGATACGTGGAACTGACTACGTTGTTATCAGAGCCTTCATGCTGTGCCAGTAATAACCCGTAGTGGGACCCAGTAGTGTAGGTTACTCTAAGAGGCAATGTCTCCAAGAGCATAGACAGATATTTCAGCTCCTCATCTCGGCTCCTGAAGGTTCTGTAACACAAACATTGGCGTAAGTTACACACTAGAGTATCTGCATTTAGTATTTATATTAATATTTCTTACCTTTAAGTATGTGGTGTTAGAGGTTTAACAAACATTATCTCTACACTGATACTGTTCTTGTGCGAAGATGTTCATTGTCAACAAACCTAACTCGAACAAATATTCAACTCATGGAAGAGTAGAAAGTGCTTCTCAAACTGGGGCCACGGCAAGATTTTAGGGGGGCCATGGCTGACTAGTGTAAGTAGTATATGTTTGGAGAAAATGTGGAAACTCTGATTCAACTTTTTTTTCGTTATTTTGCCTCATTAGGGGAGAAATCGTTTTTTTTTATTTGTCTTTTTTTTATTGTGTGTAATCCTAATGCCCTTACGGTACAGTTTTGTTATTTACACAGCATGGTGCAGCAGCTAGTTTTTATTTCCAACGGATTCGCTCAGATTGCACGATTCTAGTTCCTGTCAGCAGGGTGACGGGTGCTGAACTGAGTCACTGATCTCACGTGTTCGGTACATGTCCGTGTGTCATCGCCTTACAAGTGGTGATCAGACCAAGTGTTCTCAGCCTGGCTCGAGATATCATTAGGAAAACATGTGAGTGGACTGTGAGTGGACTGTGTGTGTATGTTTTACGTGTGATTGCATAGGCATTTTATGTCTGTTTACATACAGTATGTGTGGACTTGATGCATGTTTGTGTGTTTGCCATTCGGATTATTTTCTCATTTTTGGAGCGATAACAGTCGGGAAAACATTATATACATTATAGGTTGATATAAAGGAGGAGGAGAGGAGGAGGAGGTGCGAGTACCGTGTGGTTGTGGACGTGTGTGTGTGTGGGTGCGTGGACCAGGGGCGGGCGAAAGCGTTTGTCACCTGTGCCAGCTAATAAGGTACCCACCTGTGGAGAGAGAGAGAGAGGGAGAGAGATGAATTACCAATAGTTGAGCCAGACTTAATTACAAGGTGGATAGTCCACCTGCTCTCAATCTCACACTGTACTTCCCACTTCCAAACTTGACCTTCCTCTTACACCTCCTTGTATCCCCAGAGTCAGCGGCTCTCTTCTCTATATCTCTACTACTACTGTGTTCAGTCCTTTGTAAAAGTCTTGTGAGGAAACGTCAGGAATAAAGCTGCGTCTCTTAGTCGTGTTTCCTTCGCTACCAAACCACCATCTGGGCCTTACGCTCTCAACCACACCTACATGGTTATTGGTATCCACCTGCTCAATCCACCTGTCCATCCACATGTGAAATGCCTAGCCACACCCTGGACGTCTACAGCACGCCCTACCCACACCTCACACCAAGCCAGACTGGTTTCAAAATGGCCAGGTTAAGAATGCCCGTGCGTGCACGGTGCACCCCTTATTACTCTGGCCAATCATAAACCAGTATGGCGACGCTCAGCAGCTTCACTCACTGAATGTGGCAGAAGAATACAATAATACAATTCAAATTATATCACCACACCAACACTTTACCGCCCTCATTTCCGCAATTGTAATTAAAGGGACCCATTCACAGCGACCCCCTGGGAGGTGAGGCGAGCCCTGTATATATTAGAAACACTTGTCCCTTGCATTTGGCGACTCTGAACACCTGTGTAAACTTTTTATTTGGACGTGATTGAGGAACTACAGCAATGAGGGACATTCAGTCATACTCTCCCCCGACGACCTACCACCATCAACACCCCGCCCACTACCGTCCCCGCCTCACACAGCAGAAGGTAGGGCTGTCTACTGCCTCTCTTGCTGCTCTTTATATATCTAAGGACCTCTCTGTCCCATGTACTGCTCGCTACTTCGTTATCAGTTTCACTATATTATCTATGTTCGGTTGATACGATTCTCAGAAATACGATCTGTTTTTGTTTTGGCATCCGAATGTACAGTGCTGGTACCTTAACCCCGAATTCAGAAAGATGGTTTGAGCCTGGTATTTGAGCTCGGCTCAGGCGTGAAAATCGGGATTTCTCGATCCGAGATTTTGTGCAGTGGGTTACCCTTATTCACAACATCGGCTTGAACCCTGCATCAATTAATCTGTTTCATTTTCTTCGGCCAATCACATTCATTTACACCATTACGACAGCTAATCACCATCGAGAGAAATGTTTACAAGATTATGGCGGCAACTATGACTTGGCGAGGTTTTACGGAGGAGGAGAAATCTCTCATTGCACATCATAAGTTACTTTTACTACTACAATTACAATCAAATTGTGATCCAATTATAATGATTTATGGTACTGTGTTACAATGTGGCTGTGTTATATGATAACAAAGAAATCCATAGAGAAAGAACAATTACATACAATTGGTCAATATAATACGGGACAGGTGTCAATATTCATAATCAAAGCAAGATGAATCAATGCCGGGCGTAGTAACCTGGGTAGGTTCTGTTAGGTTAGGCTTCTTTCTGTTCTTTTAATCTCACATTTTCCCTGATTAGTAATGTTAAGAAAAGCTTTTCCTGTATTAATACACTATAATCAAAGTGCACTCAGCATTTGTTCAAATATATTGAAAATACATCAAAATAATTTTCCTAAAGAAAAACACTCAAAATAAAGAAGCATCAGTGTTCTTTACATTTACCCGCTTGATCTTCATGGACCCTAAACACGAAAGTGTTGTACCACATTACCATAACTCATTCAGTAACCAGAATCTTTCCAACCCGGAAACTATTCGTTTTGAAGAATCTCAAAACAATCCTTAGCTGATGAATGGCAGGTAGAGGTAGACCATAGCCAACAGGTCTGTCAAGTAGATGCTCCATATCACTTTAAAATATCAAGGATATCTCCCTTGCTGAACCTATATCGTTGTCTGAATTGCGTGTCTTCAGAAAAATTTATAGAATTCTGCCTATTTTCTCCCTACCAAATTTTCAGTTTGACGATATCGCCGTAAATCGCGCTCTGTGTAAAAATTGAATGACGGATGGACAGCTAAACCTGCCTCCAGGCAGGATTAACGCGAGGATCGACAAATCCGGTCTCAAACCCGGTTTGAATCTTTGTGTTGGCTCGAGACAGCGTTCTGAGTACCAATAATCTTCAATCTTCGCTCGATCCTTCATTTAAACTTTCATGAGGTTTCAAACTATCGTTCTGAATTCGGGCATTAATGTGCAGCACGTGGCACCTCAGCGTGAGTGCGTTGCACCTGGGTGTACATTTGGTGGCACCCTAGTGTACACCCTTGTGTACACTAGGTGGCACCTTAGCGTGCACTTGGTGAGTATGTGTGTGTGTGTGTGTGTGTGTGTGTGTGTGTGTCCATGGCATCAAGTAACATGAAACTATCTCCTCAGAATGGCCTCCCTCGTGTATCAACGTCTGAAGATGAAGTATGGTCAACTCCTGTGCCTCTGTGTGCTGCTCATCTCCGTCTGGATCTTGACCAACAAATCAGGTTGTGTAAAAAACATCTCTGGTGTTCCTCTCTGGTGGGTAGTGTCTGTGCCCCATGCCTCATACCCCATGCCCCATGCCTCATGCCCCATGCCCTTTACTATTACTACCTGATGTGTGATCAGTATATACAAATTAAACTCAATATTTACCTTTAATTTGATCAACAGGTAAGTTTGTTGTTATATGACCTGACGACAGTGTAACAAAAGCTTGTGTCTTTCTTGTTATGAATTGTCTGTGTTCAAGAGCTCCTGCACTAACACACACACACACACGGAATATCAACAAGTTCTCGCCAGAAGTTACAATTTCATTTAGGAAAAGAACGGAACCAGTGTTAAACAGAGGTGAACAGTGGTGAACAGTGCTTAAGTCAGTGATAACAACTCAACAGTAACAGTCGTACCCAAGGAAACCTTCACACAGTGAGGTCCCAGGTACCCAGTGATAACGGCCCGTGAGACCCAACAACAACCAGCGATGTGTTAATCCGTCTACGATAGGAAGGCCTGGGACCACACCTCACTCATATAACACCAACTGTGAGGGAATTACTACACCACATGTCCCTCATCACACCATCTGTGAGGGAATTACTACACCACATGTCCCTCATCACACCATCTGTGAGGGAATTACTACACCACATGTCCCTCATAACACCATCTATGAGGGAATTACTACACCACGTGAGGCCCCTCATAACACCATCTGTGAGGGAATTACTACACCACATGTCCCTCATAACACCATATGTTAGGGAATTACTACACCACATGTCCCTCATAACACCATCTGTGAGGGAATTACTACACCACGTGAGGCCCCTCATAACACCATCTGTGAGGGAATTACTACACCACATGTCCCTCATAACACCATATGTTGAGAATTACTACACAACATGTCCCTCATAACACCATCTGTGAGGGAATTACACTACACCACGTGGGAGCCCCTCAACACCATATGTGAGGGTATTACTACACCACATCAAGTCCCTCATAACACCATCTGTGAGGGAATTACTACACCACGTGAGGTCCCTCATAACACCATCTGTGAGGGAATTACTACACCACGTCAGGCCCCTCATAACACCATCTGTGAGGGAATTACTACACCACGTGATGCCCCTCATAACACCATCTGTGAGGGAATTTCTACACCACGTCGGGCTCCTCATAACACCATCTGTGAGGGAATTACTACACCACGTGAGGCCCTCATAACACCATCTGCGAGGGAATTACTACACCACGCCAGGTCCCTCATAACACCATCTGAGGGAACTACTACACCACGTGAGTTCCTCCTAACACCATCTGGGAGGGAATTACTACACCACGTCAGGTCCCTCATAACACCATCTGTGAGGGAATTATTACACCACGTCAGGTCCTCATAACACCATCTGGGAGAGAGTTACTACACTACGTGAGGTCCCTCCTAACACCATCTGTGAGGGAATACTACACCACGTCAGGTCCTCATAACACCATCTGGGAGGGAGTTACTACACTACGTTTTGCTGTTCAACACCTACAATAATCTGTATGTTCACTGTATGTTCCTTTACCTTTCTAATGAAGGCTTTTGTTAAACCACCAATGTATGTAATAAGTCATTTATGTCCAATGTATATTTTCAGCCTTCGATGCAGAACTTTTTCAATAAACCGTCAATTATATATATATATATATATTATTATTATTATTATTATTATTGTTATTATTACACACACACACACACACACACACACACACACACACACACACACACACATACACACACATACACACACACACACACACCTGTCTATATTACTGACGCTCTTGTTCACTGTGCCACCAGGGACGACTCAACGCCTTAATGAGATATTCATTACCAAGACTTCCATGGACTTGAAGGGAAAGGCTCCCCAGCCTGAGCGAGTCCTGACAGACGCTACCTACCAAGGGGCAGCCCAGGATGACCCAGCACTGGTCACCTACGTCCGTCACCTCATGAAACCTCCTTCCACTCTGCGGTACAACCTCACTCATCCAGAAAAACAACATTTCTCACAGTATCGCCAAACTCAACACGCTGATGCAACTTATTTCCATGGCAAGGTGAGCAATATTATAATGTCTGTTGTGAGAAGTATTACTAGCTAGTATTGATCTATCTCTAACTAGCAATGATGTACCCTTAACTAACTGGCGCTACTGTCCCACAGAGAGAGGGCTTCTTCGTGGAGGTGGGTGCCGTGGATGGTGAAACCCTGAGCAACTCCCTGTACTTGGAGAGAAACCTCGGTTGGTCGGGGCTTCTCATCGAGGTGTTCCAGACAACATATAAAACGCTCCTCCAGAAACACCGAAAAGCTTACTCCATTAACGCAGCTTTATCTTTCAACACCTCCTCCACCGAAGTCAGATATGTGTAAGTCGAATCACCTAAGGTTAGTGTTAGCTTAAGTTAGGTTAGGTTAGCGTTGGGTTAAGTTATGTCAGATTAAGTTAGCGTTAGGTTAAATTATCGTTAATTTAGATTAAGTTAGCTTTAGATTAGATCAGTTTAGCTTTAGGATGTTTAACTTTCAAGAGACTAATTTATATATACGGGTATAACTGGATTATTCTCTTGTTTATATAGAAAACGCGGTACACTGGGCGTGTTAGGTCGCACCTTCCCGGACCGCGGGGAGAGGATTCAGGCCATTCCTCTGTACACCATGTTGCTGGCTCTTAATACTACAGTCATTGATTTCTTCAGTCTCGACATTGAAGGGGGTGAGATGAAGGTGAGCACAGGTGTTGTGTTGTGTTGTGTTGCTGTGTGTTGTGTTGGGCTACTGTGGTTGTGTGGGTTTTTTTTTGTTACAGTGTTGTGTTGTGTTGTGTTGCTGTGTGTTGTGTTGGGTTGAAAGTTATCTTAATTCATTATGTACTTATGCTGTTTTGTATTCCAACACACACACACACACACACACACACACACACACACACACACACACACACTTAGTCTAGTATCATACTTAATGTTAGCATAATCCCACATTAAACTAATCTCTCTGTATTTTGGTTTAAACTAAATGTCCTAATGTTCAGGTAATCCATCAGAAAATAAAATATCTATAACATTGTTTACATTACAGGTGTTGATGACTATCCCTTGGGACAAAGTCAAGGTTGGAGTCTTGGTGGTCGAGTCGAACCTTATACCTGAAGGTCGGAAGTTCTTGGTGGACTATATGACCAGCAAGGGCTACAAGTTAGCTGGCCACAGAGGCATCGACTCGTGGTTCATTCTTCCCGAACTTGTGAACCAATACCCCAAGAAGCATTAGAACTATTAAATTGTGTGTCATTATAAACTATACAACTTGTAGTTCTGCCTGTACTTGAAGCTGTGTTTGTACTGCTAGTTCTGACTGTACTTGTAGCTGTGTTTGTGCTTGTAGTTCTGGCTGTACTTGTAGCTGTGTTTGTGCTTGTAGTTCTGCCTGTACTTGTAGCTGTGTTTGTGCTTGTAGTTCTGCCGGTACTTGTAGCTGTGTTTGTACTTGTATTTATGCTTGTACTACCTAAAGTTTTACTCGTACTTCTATTTCGGCACATTCTTAACCCTGTGCTTGCTTGTATTAGTCTCTCACATATAGACACATTAATATTATATAAATATGGGCTAATGACATATATTCATTATATACATTCTATCACCCAGACTATTGAGCATACAGCTACGTAAACATTTGTTCTGTCACACCTTCTCGGGTGGACAGTCCATAAAACTAGAGACTCAACCCTCAGTGTGTGGGTAGGCTGTTTAGTTAATGGCCGTGTTGGAGTGTGGCAACTCTCCAACCACCAGTCACCAGACTCAAGAGAGCTCAGCCCAGTTCTCACCAGTTCACAGCCTGACACGATACCCTAAAGTCGTGTCGTGAGACCAGCTCTCCAGGCTGTACCTCTCTAAATATATAAGCTAATTAGAAGCTAATAGCTAATGCTCATTAGTCTGTCAATATCAAATAATTGAACAGACATTACTACCAAATATACAGTAATTAGAAATTCATCACGTGTGTTTACATTAAACCAAGAAACAAGGAGTGAAGAGAACATTACCCAGGGCAGCTGTGACGATTTCAACTATCAACCAATCTACGACTGTATCAAAGGTGACCTCATCAAAGGTACCAGCGACTACCCTACACTCATTCAGGCAAGTTTTAACAAGTGAGACAGTTCAATATGAAACCACAGCCCAAACATCCTTCCTGGAGTATTGTATAATAAAATACCACAAGTTTCAACCAGCGTTATATATTCCTTCCCTCCCTCAAGAATTAATTAACCCTCGGTCAAAATGGCTGACAGGAGGAAGATTTACTATACCATGGCCTTTACATACTGTACATATGTGCATCTGATTATCAGGGAGCAGGTGGGAGAGAGAGATCACATATACACCAAAGACACACTGGCCGGTTACCATGACAGAGTTCAGATGAAAATAGTAACGCCAAATGAAAGACACTTATGATATTAATAGATAATAGAACATAAGACAAGGTAATAAATAGTTTGACAGGAAGAGATATTAACCTTTGCTTTTAGGGCAAATTCAAAACATAAATGAAAGTTTGGTGTTAACGCATACGACAGGTTGGAGTCACTGATGATTTTAACACAGGTACTGAAACTGTTGTTGCAGTGGATTGAGAGAGGTTGCATAGGCTTGTTGTCGTTGTGTCGTATTTATCGTTGTCGTTGTCTTGTCCAATTCCAATACGTGGGCGAGGAGCCTCAGGTGTGTCTAAAGGTGACAATAAAGTTTTAATCCTTCTTGATGTATTGGTTCACAAGTTCGGGTAGCATGAACCACGAGTCGATGCCTCTGTTGCCAGCGAACTTGTAGCCCTTGCTGGTCATATAGTCCACCAAGAACTTCCGACCTTCAGGTATAAGGTTCGACTCAAGTACCAAGACTCCAACCTTGACTTTGTCCCAAGGGATAGTCATCAACACCTGTAATGTAAACAATGTTATAGATATTTTATTTTCTGATGGATTACCTGAACATTAGGACATTTAGTTTAAACCAAAATACAGAGAGATTAGTTTAATGTGGGATTATGTTAACATTAAGTATGATACTGGACTAAGTGTGTGTGTGTGTGTGTGTGTGTGTGTGTTGGAATACAAAACAGTATTAGTACATAATGAATTAAGATAACTTTCAACCCAACACAACACACAGTAAGTAACACAACACACAGTAAGTAACACAACACACAGTAAGTAACACAACACAACATAGTAACCCAACACAACACACAGTAAGCAACACAACACAACACCTGTGCTCACCTTCATCTCACCCCCTTCAATGTCAAGACTGAAGTAATCAATGACTGTAGTATTAAGAGCCAGCAACATGGTGTACAGAGGAATGGCCTGAATCCTCTCCCCGCGGTCCGGGAAGATGTGACCTAACAAGCCCAGGTAACCGCGTTTTCTATATAAACAAGAGAATAATCCAGTTATACCCGTATATATAAATTAGTCTCTTGAAAGTTAAACATCCTAAAGGGCATGAGACATGGGGAATGAGGCATGGGGCATGAGGCATGGGGCACAGACACTACCCACCAGAGAGGAACACCGGACAAGATGTTTACACAACCTGATTTGTTGGTCAAGATCCAGACGGAGATGAGCAGCACACAGAGGCACAGGAGTTGACCAAACTTCATCTTCAGACGTTGATACACGAGGGAGGCCATTCTGAGGAGATAGTTTCATGTTACTTGATGCCATGGACACACACACACACACACACACACACACACACACACAGTAAGGTGCCACGCACTCTACAGTCAGGTGTCACGCACTGAACACTCAGGTGCCATGTAATGTACACTCAGGTGTCACGCACTGTACACTCAGGTGCCACGCACCGTACACTCAGGTGCCACGTAATGTACATTCAGGTGCCACGTAATGTACACTCAGGTGCCACACACTGTACACTCAGGTGCCACGTAATGCACACTCAGGTGCCACGTAATGTACACTCAGGTGCCACACACTGTACACTCAGGTGCCACGTAATGCACACTCAGGTGCCACGTAATTTATACTCATGTGCCACACACTGTACACCTGTACACTCAGGTGCCACGTAATGTACACTCAGGTGCCACTGTACACTCAGGTGCACACTGTACACTCAGGTGCCAATGTCAGGTGCCACGTAATTTATACTCATGTGCCACACACTGTACACTGTACAGGTGCCACTGTACACTCAGGTGCCACGTAATGTACACTCAGGTGCCACACACTGTACACTCAGGTGCCACGTAATGCACACTCAGGTGCCACGTAATTTATACTCATGTGCCACGCACGGTAATGGTAGACACGATAGTGGTAGATACGGTAATGGTAAACACGATAGTGGTAGATACGGTAATGGTAGATACGGTAATGGTAGATACAGTAATGGTAGACACGGTAATGGTAGACACGGTAATGGTAGACACGATAATGGTAGACACGGTAATGGTAGATACGGTAATGGTAGATACAGTAATGGTAGACACGATAGTGGTAGATACGGTAATGGTAGATACGGTAATGGTAGACACGGTAATGGTAGACACAGTAATGGTAGACACAGTAATGGTAGATACCGTAATGGTAGACACGGTAATGGTAGATACGGTAATGGTAGATACGGTAATGGTAGACACGGTAATGGTAGATACGGTAATGGTAGATACGGTAATGGTAGACACGATAATGGTAGATACGGTAATGGTAGACACGATAGTGGTAGATACCGTAATGGTAGACACGATAATGGTAGATACGGTAATGGTAGACACAGTAATGGTAGACACAGTAATGGTAGACACAGTAATGGTAGACACGGTAATGGTAGACACGGTAATGGTAGATACGGTAATGGTAGACACGGTAATGGTAGACACAGTAATGGTAGATACCGTAATGATAGACACGGTAATGGTAGATACGATAATGGTAGACACGGTAATGGTAGATACGGTAATGGTAGATACGGTAATGGTAGACACGGTACGGTAGATACGGAAATGGTAGACACGGTAATGGTAGACACGGTAATGGTAGACACGGTAATGGTAGACACGGTAATGGTAGACACGGTAATGGTAGATACGGTAATGGTAGATACGGTAATGGTAGACACGGTAATGGTAGACACGGTAATGGTAGACACGGTAATGGTAGAGACGGTAATGGTAGATACGGTAATGGTAGACACGGTAATGGTAGACACGGTAATGGTAGACACGGTAATGGTAGATACGGTAATGGTAGATACGGTAATGGTAGATACGGTAATGGTAGGCACGGTAATGGTAGACACAGTAATGGTAGATACCGTAATGGTAGGCACGGTAATGGTAGATACGGCAATGGTAGACACGGTAATGGTAGACACAGTAATGGTAGATACCGTAATGGTGGACACGGTAATGGTAGATACGGTAATGGTAGACACGGTAATGGTAGATACGGTAATGGTAGATACGGTAATGGTAGATACGGTAATGGTAGACACGGTAATGGTAGATACGGTAATGGTAGATACCGTAATGGTAGACACGGTAATGGTAGACACGGTAATGGTAGATACGGTAATGGTAGATACGGTAATGGTAGACACGATAATGGTAGATACGGTAATGGTAGATACCGTAATGGTAGACACGGTAATGGTAGATACGGTAATGGTAGACACGGTAATGGTAGATACGGTAATGGTAGATACCGTAATGGTATACGTAATGGTAGACACGGTAATGGTAGATGCGGTATGGTGGCACGATAGTGGTAGATAATGGTAGATACCGTAATGGTAGACACGGTAATGGTGGATACGGTGATGGTAGGACACGGTGATGGTAGAGACGGAGTGGTGGATGCCGTGATGGTAGAGACGGTAATGGTAGGATACCGTATTGCAGAGACGGTAATTGTAGATACCGTAATGGTAGAATTGGTAATGGTAGATACCGTAATGGTAGAGACGGTAATGGTAGGATACCGTATGATACTGTAATGGTAGATACCATAGAGACGGTAATGGTAGAGACGGTAATGGTAGAGACGGTAATGTAGAGGCTGTAATGTAGCTTATACATTAATTACGCAATCAGGCTATGGTAAGCCAACTATTTGTTGCTGCTTGGAGGGCAGGTCACTGTTGTGCACGCTGTTGTTAGGTCAGGTCACTGTTGTGGGCACGCTGTTTATTGAGGTCAGGTCACTTGGTGTCAATCGTTTGTTGTCAGGTGTTCAATCTGCTTGTTGAAGGTCAGGTCACTGGTGTGTGGGCAATCTGCTTGTTGAAGGGTCAGGTCACTGGTGTGTGGGCAATCTGCTTGTTGAAGGTCAGGTCACTGGTGTGTGTTCAATCTGCTTGTTGAAGGTCAGGTCACTGGTGTGTGGGCAATCTGCTTGTTGAAGGTCAGGTCACTGGTGTGTGGTCAATCTTGCTTGTTGAAGGTCAGGCCACTGTGTGTGGGCGCTGTTTGTTGAAGGTCAAGTCACTGGTGTGTGGGCATCATTTTGTTGAAAGTCAGGTCACTGGTGTGGGCACGCTGCTTGTTGAGGTCCAGTCCACTGGTGTGGCCAGGCACTGCTTGTTGAAGATAGAATACTGGTGTGTGGGCAAGCTGCTTGTTGGTGGAGTCCACTGGTGTGTGCAGGGCAGCTGCTTGTTGAAGGGTCAAGACTCACTGGTGTGTGGGCACGCCTGCTTGTTGAAGGTCAGGTCACAGTGTGTGGGCACGCTGTTTGTTGAAGGTCAAGTCACTGGTGTGTGGGCACCTTGTTGAGTCAGGTCACTGGTGTGTGGGCATCCTGTTTGTTGAAGAGTCTCAGGTCACTGGTGTGTGCGACACACTTCTTGGTGAGATCAAGTCACTGGTGTGTGGGCATCCTGTTTGGTGAAGGTGGAGTCACTGGTGTGTGGGCACACTTTGCTTGTTGAGGTCAGGTCACTGGGGTGTGTGGGCACTGTTGAAGGTCAGGTCACTGGTGTGTGGGCATGCTTGTTGAAGGTCAGGTCACTGGTGTGTGGAGCATGCTGCTTGTTGGTCAGGTCACTGGTGTGTTTGCATCCTGTTTGTTGAAGGTCAGGTCACTGGTGTGTGGCATCCTGCTCGTTGAAGGTCAGGTCACTTTGGTGTGTAGACGCGCTGCTTGTTGAAAATTCAAGTTCTTGGTGTGGCTGAACCGCTGCTTGTTGATCAGTTCACTGTGTGGTCATCCACCTGTTTGGCAGAAGGTCAGGAGTCACTGGGTGTGTGGGCATCCTGCTCGTTGAGGTCAGGTCACTGGTGTGTGGGCATCCTGTTTGAAGATTAGGTCACTGGTGTGCCCAGACATCCCTGCTCGTTGAAGGTCACGTCTCTGGTGTGTGGGCACGCGCTCGCTTGTTGAAGGTCAGTTCGCGGTGTGTGGGGCATCTGTTTGTTGAAGGTGGAGTCACTGGTGTGTGGGCATCCTGCTCGTTGAAGGTGGAGTCACTGGTGTGTGGGCACACTGCTTGTTGAAGGTCAGTTCACTGGTGTGTGGGCATCTACTCGTTGAAGGTCAGGTCACTGTGGTGTGTGGGCAAGCTGCTTGTTGAAGGTCAGTTCACTGGTGTGTGGGCATCCCTGTTTGTTGAAAGGTCAGGTCACTGGTGTGTGGGCACACTGCTTGTTGAAGAGTCAAGTCACTGGTGTGTGGGCATGCGCTGCTTATTGAGGTCAGGTCACTGGTGTGTGGGCATCCTGTTTGTTGAAGGTCAGATTCCTACTTTGGTGTGGCTGAACGTCTGCTTGTTGAAGGTCAGGTCTGGTGTGTGGGCATCCTGTTTGTTGAGATTAGGTCACTGGTGTGTGGGCAAACTGTTTGTTGAGGTCAGAGTCACTGAATATTATTGGGCATCACACTGTTTGTTGAAGGTCAGGTCCACTGAACGTGGCAGGCAAGCTGCTTGTTGAAGAGTCAGGTCACTGGTGTGTGGGCACTCTTTAGCATTGAAGAGTCAGGTCACTGGTGTGTGGGCACGCGCGCTGCTTGTTGAAAGGCCTCAGTCTAACTCTTGATTAGCTAATCTCTCTTCACTCACCTGTAAGTTTTTAAGAGGTAAACCTTAGTCGTAAACACTTTACTTCGTCGTTCAACGCTATTTATATCATAAAAAAACATATAGGAAGACCAATAAATTTTTAATTTATAAAAGATCTTAACAAACCTGCAATGTCTTAGAAAAACAAACATCTTGTGTAACTTCCATATTTCGTATGGAATTTGAAGATGTTAAAACTATTACTTATTTGGTTGTGGACTAGTTGAGTGTAGCAAGGAAACAGCGGGGGAGTGAGCGACTTTCCGAATCTCGGGTTTTAATTTTTCGTAAATAATAATCAATTTTATTTTTATCTAATGATGGCTAGAAGTAATTGGAATAACGAATGAGATTATAAATGTCGGCCAATCGTATCCTTATCATTTCACCATCAGTCGATGATAAATACGTAGATTATTTTCATATGAATCAGCAAAAGCGGGCAATGAATTAAAGAATAAAACATTCAAAACTTCGACACTCACGACTCCTTAAGAAAATCATTAAAACCTGAGCGTCAACATCTGTGGTAATGGTGGTGCGTGTGGTTGGACGTATTTGGGGCAAGTTTGATCGCTATTTTCCTGGATTTTTACATTCGCTGTTTGTGGATTACCTCGTGTTTTGT